AACTCTGACACAGCACCTGCTATCAGAATACAATGACTGGATGGCCCTCAGCAACATAAAATTATGTCAGAAGTCATATGAATAAAATCATCTGTTCATTAGTGCTGAGGATAAGGCTGTGTAAAATCTTATAGCAACCCATTTTATGCATCATCATTAAACTTGGGACGATCGGTAACGACAGTCAGTTTTGGAGATGGTAAAAAATTGAAAACACAAATGTACCGTAATTGTCGCATGTGGCTCTGCAATCGTCATACGAGTCAAACCGATTGTCGTTGCCTGAGCATCCGCGGTAGAGAAGCTCCTTGCATTCACGTCTCTTGTTGTCGAAGTAGTACTTCCTCTGAAAGGCGACGTCGGTGCATTCGTCGCCGGCGTCAGCCTGCTGCTGGCATATAAATGCTGTTAAAACATTTGGAAACGTTTAAATGGTTAATCAACTGATTTGTACTCCGTTTTCAACCTTTACCTGGTGTTGGACAGCAGAGTCTCGCAGTACCGGACAGCACGCATCGATAGCCGCTTGGACAAGGCGAGGCTGTCGAACACTGCCGGTACGACAGCGACTTTTCGTTCATCAGAGCCGCCCCATGGTCGCATACATTAGCTGAAAAACGAAACGGATTTCATTTTGATGCATGCGAATGGTGGCAATGTCGGTGTTGCCGGACCGAAACAAGGATGAGAAAGGAGAAGAAGGGTTTGGGAACACGGCAACATCCCAGTAAAACTCAGCCACCTGTGCTTCATGGCATCTGTCAGAGGTCAAACGTTACATCGACTCGGTCGTCGCCCGTCTGACCAACGGCCACGCAGACGGTTGGACAACTGAGGCAGTCTGTAAAACGCCGGCAGTCAGAACCTGCTTAACGTCTTCTGGCAGTTGAGAACTTCAGAAGGACACAAAAGTACCAATCAGCAACGGAGTCACTTGCCGTTCTGAACAGAACAGGCAGGCAGCATGAAGTTGTTGCTCATTTTCTCACTGTCCGGGCAGAAAGAACCAGGGAATCAAATGGGAAACACGTTCTTCAGCGGAAACTTGCAAACGACGGTTTGAACAGATCCAGTGATGACCGTTGATGTAGAAACCGAGTGGAAACTATTCAAAAACGGCTTATTCGATGCTGCCATCGAAGCTCCGGCTTGAAACACGTTGGCCTGCCGCTGGAGGCCAGAAACTCACTTCCCAGTAGACACCAGAGGTTCAGCTAGCAGTGAGAAGAAGGAGGAAAGAAACTTGCATCAAAGAGGTAGATTGAAAGTTAAGAGCATCAACTCGAATGGCGGGAGCGAGAGCCGATTCCTAGGAAAAATCTGCAGAGCTGAGTGTTCAAATTATTGGAGAATCATCTTATTGAGCCGTGCGACAAAAGTCAATGCAAATGTGTTGGAATGAAGCTGTTGCACATTAAATCGCTCTAATTTAAAGAAGATCAATGTGACTTTGTATCAGGTCGAAATACCTCTGATCAGATCTTCTCGACTTATGCCAGACTGTTGAGAAAAATGGGAGTGCACTCCTCTGGTTTGTGTGCTTTGTGGATTTGGATAAATCCTATAACCGGAAACAGCGCAACACTCGGGCATGGGCACGCGTGTGAACATATAGGGATCGATGGCTACTTTGTACGGGCAATCCAATCACTGTATGCTGACAGCAGGTGCTCCCTCACACTAAATGACGTTAAGTCGAAACCTTTCAGCGTTAGCACCATTCTCCTCCATGGCTGTGTTCTGTCCCCTCTCTTGTTTGCGTTGTACATGGATAGAATGGTCATTCGCAGCCACAACGACGAGCGTCTCAGGGTGTAATCCTTATTTTTCATGCATTTTAGAAAACTTATCTTCAGCGCTCTTTCGAAACGTTTACAATCGAATGTAACGTGGCCAGAATTCTTTCTGACAATATAGTTTCTCACTGTCCTGCCCGGTGCCCCCTGTAGTTAAACCGAGAAGCAATGGAATAGGTGCAGACGCTTAAATACCAGAGGGTCGTGTTTTACAGGTAACGGAAAATTGGAGCAAGGCTCGAATGTGGAATTGGAATCGCCAGCAGCATTTCGCGTTAATTAACCAGAACCTTAATTAACCTGTGACTAAGTTGTTTGTATTCAAGCTGATCCTCATCCTCACTTCATGCGTACCTACGGTCATGAGTCATGTACCACGACTTAAAGCCTTCGACCTTGGGTAGAAGTAAATGAAATTCGCTTTCTCAAACGGAACTCTGTGATCACGTGTCTTGATTTGGTTCAGAGTAAAGATATCTTTGAAAGAGCCATGGAGTACAGCTGCATTTTCTGTAGATTGCAAAGTCACATCAGCGATGGTCTGAGCAGTGCTAGAAATAGTTCGAGGAATGAAGGCGAAACAGCTATTCTTTGCTCTAGCATTTGAAGGAAGACCACTGGGACGGCTGAGAATCACTCTACTCCAGACTATGGTCATCTTGTGCCGAAGCTGAAGCGCTGGCACACGTTGGAAAATGCTAAGGACTCGTACACTGTCTGACACGTCTGTCATGAGAACCGAAAGGATAAGGCATGTAGATGATTGCTTAATAAGAAAGAACGACCATAGGGTTGGTTAGGTAATGAGGAAGGATTTCGAAATTTACAAACTCAGTGTGGAGGTGGGAGTGGTGATTAAAAAACGAGTGAAGGTTACTTAAGGGCATACTGAGAAATGCTTACAGTAGTTTCATTCAAGAAACTGTTTCTAAGAAGCATCGTATGAAAATGTCATATCCTGAAGATCAGCAAAATGAATAGCAACAAGTCACTAAGCTAATGCGCTAAACTCGTCTGTAATGTTTTCAAGGTTGTGCTTGCTTGCTGGATCAGTTTGAAGCTAAAAGCAGTGGCAGAACTGCAGAGCAATCCAGAAACTGAGCAAACTCTAAAGATATTCAAATTGCCTGTGATTTTGTCACATTGAGCATTTTAGATATTTGAAGATTCATACGATTTTAGGGCAGATTATGAAATATTTAACTATTTTGTACATTTTGATATTAGCTTGCGTTCGAAGACATTTTGTTCGACCCAACACAGTGAAGCGGCTTTGAACTCTGCAGGTAATAACATGGGAGCCGAAGCAGGCTTAAAATGTCTATTATGTTGCTAGCAAGAATTGAAAGCGATCACTAAGCCTTGTGAATGTGTGTCCGTAGAATGGGACCAAGATCTTTGTACGTAAATGCGCCCTCAGTCGTGATCGAAAATCTTTCGGTAATTAACTAAACCTTTCTAACGATTTTCTGGTATTTCCTCAACCTCTGTATTGAGAGGTTTCGAATATCAACCATAAACTTTAGATTGATTATGTTCAAGGCCGAATTTCTAATCGAGTGGGTGCTAGAGATAAACCAATGTTACATGATTACTGAATGAACTTAGTGCTTTGCACAGTACTGATTCACGAGATAGAAACCAGGCGGATGCGAAAAAGATACATTCATGTGTCATGATGGGGCAGGGACGATGATACTGTGGTTAAGGATCGGCTTCAATCTCCTGAGGTGTCGGTTCGACTATCGAGGAAAGACAGTCTTCATCTTAACCGCGAATGCCCTTTCAGTAGGAAATTTATTCCACGTTGTTTCGATGCAATCGGCCGAAAACGGGCTACCTTGCCAAAAAAACAGAGAGCATGGCATTATGGTTTAGTGATGCGCGAATATGAGAGATTCACAGCCATTCTGTCTAATGAACGCCTTATAGGGCTACAGTTTACCTGCTACCTGCCTATTCAAATGGTAATTACCAGAATGTTGTGGTTTTATATACATATATAAAAAAATTAAACCTTTAATTTGAAGCGTGCTTCCTGAGCAACATATCCGCTCTTCTGTAGCTGATTTAGCACTGGTGCAGACGTAACCATGAGGACATTCTGAATCGCAGACCACTGGTTTCCCAGAACGAAAGTCTTTTAGAGGAACGGTGCCTTTAGGACATCCTTAAACGTCGTTTGGTACGTCACCATGAAGTTCGGTTTGATGACTTACTTCGTGTTGGTTTACAACAAATCGATTGTCTGGCTTCAGTCGTCTGAACACCAAATGAGCCGCTCGGACAGGACTCGAGAAACCCCGGTCGGCTTCGAACTGGATGCCTGTTCTCCTTGTCGAATACCACGTAGCTCTCGGGAGGACAGCCTTAAAAATTACTAAGACATGTAAACAAATGTTTAAAGTAAAATGATGGATGTTCCTCATAGACGGATCAAAAACGCATGTACCAATATTTACCATTGTTTCTGCAACGAAAGACTACGTCCCCCACTTATTGGTTGCCGAAGGACGCATGATCTACGAGAGCTTGATACGATTGGATCTGATTTCCCAAAGTAATCGTTGTAGACGGAGGAAAATGAGGTATTACGTTATATTTAGTTTGCTTCTCGTCCACGTACGAGAATAACTTCAAGCATTCAAGTACGACAACTGGCTGTCGTGTCATTGTTTCACAGACGAAACAAAGCTTTCATTAGAAGTGACTGATTTCTAGGAGCCGAGAAGCTGCTGTTCATGTTTAACCATGCCCCACATGTATTTGATTTACTAAAGGCCTAATTATATATTTATATAACTAAATGAATTCAGGGCATTTAAACTATGAAAAATAATTATTCTACGGGAGAACGGGAAGGGGGTGAGGTTTAATGCGTCATATATATGTATATATATGACCTTAAACTGAATTCAAATGAGTTTGTGAAGAAGTTTGTAAAATGCAATGGATATTTTTCAGCCTTTGTCGCTTTTATTAACTATACTGTAGCTTCCACTAGATTTCCAGCGAATGGCGTCTACAGGATGAACAGCTTTAAAGGATTTCCGATCCAATGGTCTCCATCTTTCCAACTTCATCAAAAGTTTTCAGAAGTTAAACCACCGCCGTGGGGCTTGCATGGGCATGTTACCTTTGAGAGGCCGTTGGCAACAGACACCGCGATCTACCGCATCGTCTATTAGCTGACAGCTGGCGGTTGTCACTGGGCATGGATGTGAGACGTTGCAAAGCAGTGGACCGTTGGCGTCCACCAGAAGCCGCTGATCGGCCGGGCAAACTTTATCCAGTGCTGTAAGAACGCAAACACGAGCTACAATTGTCTCTGTTTCAAGCCCTACCTTTGCTGCGGCAGCAGACTCCAGCTGTGCACCGATGGAACAGCGGACAATCGGTGTGCCTACCGCAGTGAGGCACCATTCCTTCAGCGTTTCGATAGACTTCTTGATCCTCACAGATGACTACAAGTGACAACAATAACGCGGTTTGCAAATAGATGTGCTGTGATTGTGTTAATTTTTAATAAATCTAAAAATGGTAGGTTTGAAATTATTTGTAACTAGAAACTTGGAGACTGCTTCGACCAATCGGAGGGATAAGATTTGTGTATACGATAACACTCAACAGAATGGCATTTTTCGAAACATGAGAATAACCCTATATGACAAATATCGCAGATCCAACAACAAAGGTAACTTGTTTAATCATGATTTACAGTGTGTATTTGCAGTAAGGTTTTTCTGATATATGGCATTTTTCATGAGCAACTTTTGCTGTATCAA